TAATTTAGCGTTTGTGCAAGGTACGTTAAAAATATTTCCAAGTATTGACCCAAAGAGGTAAAAGAATAAAATTCTGTCATTGTTTACTCACCCTCATGTGTTTTAAATCCTTACTTCAGTAGAAAGTAAAAGGATTCATATCAGAATACCCAAGTCGCTTACAATGAAAGTGAATGGTGACCAAAGCTGTCAAGCAAGATTTTTTCAATTTGAAACCTCAGTTTGTTCTCACAAATGGTTTCAGAAGTGCATAAGTTGTATGGAGTAGTTTAATGACGCTTTATGTTGCTTAATGTCTGGTCACCATCCACTTACACTGTATGGAAAAAAGCAGCTTGGACATTCTGCTAAACAACTCGTTTTTAGCTTAAACATCATAAAAACGACACGAGGATGAGTAAATAATAACAAAATTTAATTACTAGATGATCTGTCCCTTTAATAAACAAACTGATTTTTGGATTAAGAGCAAGACCCTTCAAAGCTCAGCCCATTAGAGTTTTGCTCTCTGACTGATGTAAGCAAACAGCTGAGCACTCTCGCTTTACCCAACGTGACCTCAGCCTCACGGCACAAACACCTGTGCTGGGCGCTTACGCACATGTACAGACACATTTGGGCAGTACATCTGATACGACATGCATTAGCGTTTGCTTTAAGGAGAAGATTCATTTCAGGACTGCAGTATTGTCCTCTGTTGTTTTAGCATCTGTGTGTTTGTGTATTGCCCCTCGTAGCCGTCTGTTGTTAGGCAGCTCTGTTAATGAGGGTAGGGGGCTGGGGGCTCTGCCGCAAGCTTCTGCGCTTGTCTCGAGCCCTGAAGCACACTGATATGAGGGCCTATGATAAGTTTACAGCCTGGAAAGGCAGCTGTAGGCATAGCTGTATACAGCAGAGGAGACACTAACACGGCCCCAGTGTCTGTCCAGCACCATAAACCATCCTCCGCTAGCTTTATTCACCTGAGCTCAGTCTACAAACATCAGTCCAAGCTCATAAATATGCATTTGCAGTTTGTATCATATTAGACACACTATATTTTTTAGAAGAAGATAAGATAATATTTTTTTTCAGCAAGGATGCATTAAATTGATCATTTATAATGTTACAAAATATTTCTATTTAAAATACAAAAGATTTAGATTTCCATTTCAAATAAATGCTGTTTTTTAAAGCTTTCTATTCATCGAATAATCCTGAAAAAATGTCATGGTTTTCACAAAAATACTAAGTTGTTGTCAGCATTGATAATAATAAGAAATATTCTTTGAGCATCAAATAAGCATATTAGAATGATTTCTGAGGAATCATGTGACACTGAAGACTTGAGTAATGACTGCTGAAAATTCAGCTTTGCCATCACAGGAATGAACTACATTTTTAAAACGTCTTTTTAAAACAGTTATTTTAAACTGTAATATTTCACAATATTACTGTTTTGCCATATTTTTGTTCAAATAAATGCATGTTGAGCTGAAGTATGATTTTATATGCATTTATGATGTGGAATGTTATGATGTTTATTGTTTTTGAAAGGAGTCTCTTATTCTCACCCACTTTTTATTTGATCAAAAATACAGCTAAATAATAATATTGTCAAATGTTATTGTAATTTAAAGCTGTTTTATTGAAAATTAAAACGGTTTTGTATGTTAGTATTGAATTCCTGTGAGAGCAAGCAACCATTACTCCAGTCTTCAGTGTCACATGATCCTTCAGAAATCATTCTAATATGCTGATTTGGTAAAAAGAAAAAGAAAAAAAAAATATATATAATCAATGTGAAAACCGCTGTGCTGCTTAATATTTTTGTGGAAACTGATTATCATTATTATTATTTTTAAGTAGCATGTAAAACATGTTACAACAAGCAAGACAATTTATCTAACATCTATTACCATCCTCAACCCTCACCCAACCCACCGCACATCAGGAATTTGAAAATAAATAAAATACAGATAAAAAAAATAAAATAACAACAAAAATAATGGAAATGGTTTAAATAACCAAAATCATAACTGTCATTAATTTTCAGAATTCTTTGATAAACAGAAACTTCAAAATAACATTTATTCATTTATCTTTTGTAAAATTACAAATGTCTTTACTGTTTTTGATCAATTTAATGTGTCCCTGTTGAAAGAAAAAATAAATAAATAAACTTCACTGTCCACAAACCTTTGAATGGTATATGAAAGTATTAAGTTGTCTTCCCTAGAATTATCCCCTAATTATTTCCTAGAAGTCGATCTTTCAGCGCCTGCATGTTTTCCAGGGAACAAGGAAAGATTCAGGTTTGATCAGGAGATTATAGTTCTACTTTCTCCTTTTTCTCCACTGAATTCTGTGTCAGCAAAAATCCATTACATCTCATTTGATAGTGTCAACATCCTTATCTTCATCATTATTACTCATTTCTGTCGAACACGTAAAAAAAAAACACATTTATCAAAAAAACTCTTTCACCTGTTTGATGTGGCCCTTCAAAGCCTTGTTTATTCCACCCCTTTCACCCTGTTTTTTTGTTTGTTTTTTTTGTACTGTGAGAGCTCTGACACCCGTGGTTCTCTCTTGCACACGTGGTCCGTTGAAAACAGCCAGAGGTGTGAAGTTAGCACCCCTAATGCAACCAGCGAGTCTGAAAAAACATTGCAGAGAGGGTCGTGCTGATAGCCTCAATGCACAACTCTGGTACTTGTGTGTGAGATTCTTACCGAAGGATTCATGGCTTTGGATGTACATTGCGAACTACAGTCTGATTTATCTTTTTTTTTTATTTTTAAAAACATCTTTATTTCAAATAGCGGTCTATAGTTGAATGTATATAATAGATACTGTCTAGTATTTTAGGTGTGTAAGGTGCAGGTCAAAGTATGGTCAAAATAACTATTAGGGATATGAATCATAAGTGAATGATGACTGAGAATAACACATTTTTTCCTCCATTTATTTGAGGATATAATCCACTCACAGGCTAAGCATTTAACCCCATAGGATCCAAACAGAAGATCTCTTTCAGGTGAGGAAGCAAGTCATTGTTTTGAGTAAGATCTGAAGAAGAGCTACTCACGTAAAATGTTGTGGGCAGTCAGATACACTGTTGTGTTTGGCTTGGTTTTCCACTTCCTTGCTTTCTCCTTTGTGACAACTTTCAAAAACACGGGCTTAATGTAAACCTCTCGTTTTTATGGATTATATAAATTCGCAATAGAATGCCGTTTTTGTTACTAGACAATAATTATTCTACGTACAGAACATTCATGAACAGTGTAAAACATTGCAGAGAGGGTCGTGCTGATAGCCTCAATGCACAACTCTGGTACTTGTGTGTGAGATTCTTACCGAAGGATTCATGGCTTTGGATGTACATTGCGAACTACAGTCTGAACTACAAATTTCTTGACATTATTTGGCTATATTGTCATAATTATAGAGGTTCAACATAGTATACAACTACTATTGAACCATTTAATGCCATAAAAATGATCACTGAGAAGGTGTTTATTTTGTCAAAGGTTTGGGGCCTTTTTAAAATGTTTAAATCTCCCTTTTTAATGCTTTTGAAAGTCTGCATTGACTTAAACAAAAATACAGTGAAAACAGTAATATTGTTAAATAACTTTACAATTTAATATAACTGTTGTTTAATTTTTATTGTTGTTATATGTTAACAACATATTTGTTGTTATATTTTGCCACATGATCCTTCAGAAATCTTTCTAATGTGTTAATTTTATGCTCAAAAAACATTTCTCATGTTAAAAAAAAGTTGTGCTTCTTAATATTTTTGTGGAAACTGATATTTTTGGTAACAACTTAAAAAATGGTCTTTTCATTTAATGCATCCTTGCTAAATAAAAGTGTTTATTTCTTTAAAAAAAATCTTACTGAATTTACTGACAGGATAATAAAAAATAAATAAATAAAACAAAACAAAACATTTCATGTACATTAAAGATTAAGCATTAATGAAGGGTAATCATTTTCATTAATGTTATTAATGAAAATGATTTGAAGTGTAAAGCTTATAAATATACACTGAAAAATGTTTTTCATTCATCCAATTAAATTTTTTTGGGGTAATTCATGATTTTCCATTGGCTCAAGTTAAAAAATATAGATGTGAATCATTACCCTACATTTTTTTAATTGGATGAATGAAACATGTTTTTATATATATATATATATATATATATATATATATATAAAACATAATATAATAAAAAGTTACTGCCAGTAACAGTAATAGTAATTTTAAAAAATCATTAAATTATTAGTATTATTATTATTATTATACATTAAAATATTATAACAAATTAAAATACTGCAAGGAATGGTAATAAAACCATATTAATAAAACACACACACACACACACATGCACACACGCACGCACACACAAATATACAATGATGAGCATATCGTATTTCTGTCTAAACTTCTTTTAAACAAGATTGAGAAGCAAAATTGTGTAAGATATTAAAAGATATTGTCAGGTTTTTTTTTACCTCTATTATTATTATTATTATTATAATAAAAAAAATTATCAATAATAAACACAAAAAATCAAATACAAGAAAATGATGGACATTTCGTGATTTTTTAAAAGTTTTCTAGAACTTTTTCATTACACAGTATTTTAATTATTTTGGTGTGTGAATAATATAATGAGCCTGAAGTATTCAGAGCATGTCCATGTCCAGACATGTTTGGTGTGACCTCTTAAGTGACACCAGCAGGCTCCATTCAGACTTTAATACTCTTTCATCAGAGTATTCAAACATTCAAATTAGTGCCATTTGTTCACTATAAGCTGTGAAAAACTACACGTTCCCCTTTGTCATTTAGGCTTTATTTAGTGAGAGGATCTCACGCAGAAGGTGTGAACTTCATTGCTCCAGTCCCCCGTCTTCGTCTCCCTCCCTCCCCCTTGCCCACACACACCTCACTTTATCTCCACCCACTGACACACTCCCTCTCTCATACACTCTCCTCTCGCCTGTCTGCTGCTTCAGTATCAGTCTTGTCTCTCTGGTGAACAGACACACACACACTCACTCACTCCAGGGAGGTTGGATTACAACAGGGATCACTAAACTATATTGATCTTGCAGGCAGATACATCAGCACTCTCTCATCGAGGAGATACACACACTGTCCCAGGATCAACATGGGGAGTAGTATGTCATGCGTCCCCCAACACAACTTCAGGTTCTCCAGCAAGAGCTTCATACGCAGGAACAGGTAAGAACCATGAGATACTACCTTAAAACGACCAAGTTTTAAAAGTATGAAGACATGTCAAGCAAACTAGAGGGATGTCATGAAATGTTCCGACGTTTAATGTATGAGTTTGATATTGGACTGAAATGGCAGAAGTTTGGAAATGAAATAACAATATTATAACTCAAACATCGGTAGTTTTGTCTTGTTTTCCAGTAGAAATGTGTAATCATCATTAAAATGAGATAAATTCACTTGAGAAGCAAACTTGTGTACACTGAAAACTATTTGATGTAGAAACTATTTTTACACAGAAATGTCTTATAAATTTCACAATTACACACAAATGCACACATTTAATTAAACATGCAATTTTAATGCAGAAAAAACTGAAATACTATTTACTGTAAAACAAACTCTAATAATCTGTTTAATTTACAACAAAAAACATCATTTTTTTACAGTGTATAATATATTCATTTATAAGATTTGGTTTCAGAAAATATATTTTGAATTCATTATATTTTCCTCACCCCACTGTGAAACAGGTTTTTTTTTGCCTAATTTATATTTTTTAAATATGAAAATAATAATAATTATTTAATTAAATATAATTTTAATTGTATACTTTTATATTTAAAAGAAGGAAAAATTGCCAAAAAGGTAAAAAAAAAAAAGATCAGTCATATTCTGTGAAAATACTTTTAGCTTTTGCCATTTTGCTTCTTAAAAGGTTTAGTAATATATAATGATTTTCTAATGGAGAACAAGACAAAAAAATTCTCATTGAAAAATGATATTTTATAGCACACTGACATGATGAACATGGGTTAGTGATTTGAATTTAGCGGTGTAATGATGCTGCCTGTAAATCTCATTAGCTCAGCGTCAGGATCTCACTTCACACTGACTGATACATTCATCTGCTGATAGAATTCACAAGTGTAATGAAGTTAGCTCTATTTCTGTTTCCAGTGCAGCCTTCAGGGAAGGTTCTCAGGTTTTGTGGTTTTTTGAGAGAATTGGGTTTATCCTGCACAGAAAGTAATACTATTGTGCTTGCACTGCTAGTGACAGTGATCCGCATAATTTACTGCTGTCCAATTTGGACAGCTCTTCCGACTACCTGTCAGTAAAATAGACAGTTGGCCTATTTTAAATCAGACCGTTTGTCTGTTGTGTCTGGTTTGCATGTCCTCTGAATGTTAGTTACTGGGTTCAGTTAGGGTTCAGAGTCCGAGCCCATAAAAAAAGTCTTTGTATTTTTACTGCGAACATATCAGATCAAAGTTCAGTGAAGCGGGACCCGGCCCCTTTAAAACCCAGGACCCCTATCAGATTTAAAATAAGTCCTCTCAATGGTTGCATTTTTAATGAAAACAAAAGGTGATCTGCTGGAAATAGTTGATGCCTCTTACATAAAGTTACAAAGTTGTCGCTGTCAAACTTTCATCACTTTTACGAGCATGTTCTGTGCAACAAACTACCTACAACCTGCATTCTTCTCCCGGATGAATTCTCCGGATGCCAAACGCGTTCATCACTGAGTCCTAGTAAATCACCGATACTTCCCATTATTGTCTGCATGAATGAGCCCAGTGTTGTTATGCTAATTGCATTCAAAGCAGAGACAGATTGACAAAGAGAGAGAAGAAAAACATGGGAGTCACTGAGGACGTGTCTCTCGCTAAGGATGACTTTGACTTGCTTAGCTTATCGTTTGGCGGGAAGGACTTCATTATACAGATCTGACACTAATGATTATAAATGGGGGTCATGGGTAACAAAAGGCATTTCATGAGCGGTGCATTGTGGTTTGTAACATAAGCTTTATTGTTTTTTTCTCTTTAAATGGTGCAGACAGAGATGTTAATCTGATATGTTGACTTGTGCAAGCTAAGGAAGAATGGACATGTGTAATGGTGATGTAATCTTTTGTGTGGGACACTGAGCACCAGAATCTTCACAGACAGATTGACTCTGACTGATTAACTGATCATCTTGAGTCAAGATAACCCCTGTGTGGGGTCACATCCATTTTTCTTATCCCACAACCCTATACTTGACTAACTAGGGTCTACTGTTTTATGAGCAGCAGCCGTTTATTCCGGAAAAAGTACCCGCAGGAGGGCCAGGAGAAGTCCAATAGCATCATCAACATTCTCTGCACTGTCACCCCAAGAAAGGTGAAGAACCTCCCAGCTAATGATTTTTCTAACCTTCTCAGTAAATCATGAAAAGTTCTGTGAATGTTCAAAACACCTAATTTTGTATGTTTTAACAGAGTTTTTCTTGGGTTATACTAACATCTTGTAAAATGTTACCAGAAAACAAGTTTATGTTCTAAGAACGTTTTAAAAACGTTATTTTTGAAAGTTCATTTAAAATGTCAGTTTGTTTTAAATGTTTTAGAAACATTATGGAATTATTCAAAATTTGAAGCTTTTGAATGTTCACAGAATATTTGGAAATAGCGTTCTCATAACTTACGACACTGGTTTCAGAACGTAAACGTATAAATATTATTTTGATGCTAACATGTTGCAAATGTTTTTCAAGCTAACTTAAAAAAATTCTAAGAACATGTTTTGTTTGTAACTTTGAGAAAACCTTTAAAGAACTTTAGACAAAAGTTCTGAAAACACTGCCTATTAGCTGGGATTTCACATTTAATGCGTACAACTGTGCATATCAGATGTAACTGAGAAAAGGAACTCATTTTTAACACTGTGTTGACATAGGAAATGTCACCCAAAGATCTCCAGACGATCGAGAACATCAAATGGGACCCTCCGTTCCCCTACGACCCAGCTAGTGGATGGAAAAAGAGCAGCATCAATGTAAAGAACTATGGCAGAATGATCCACAGCTCCAAAGTCCGCTTCCGCTTCCTGCACTGCCAGGTAAGACACACCAACTCGCATCTAAAACACATACCCAATCAAACTACAAACAAACACGCAGTCGTCAAGAATATTCATTCAATAAACCTTTCAAAACAGACTTTCATATGATGATTAAGGTGGTCTGAGCAGCCATAACAGTCACTTACTCACTCTCTATGAGGTAATGCATAACAAACAGATGGAAGATACAAGATGTCACATGGTGGTTGTATGAAGCGCTGTGAGAATGACGTACATGCATTTGCTGAATAATTGATGCAACTCGGTTTGGGGAGTTTAAGCCGTGTCGGAACACGCAGAGATGTAAGGTGTTGTGAAATGGCTCAGAGTTGGGGCAGAGCGGACTGATCAAACCACTTATATATTACACATTGGCTCTGAAGCGTGGGAATCTCTTTAGTTTGATAACATGTGGTCATACTGGGAAAAAAATTTGTATGAAGGTGAAGAAAAGCAAAATACCCCGACACAGGGTGAGGTCAAAGAGGGAACATAATGTACAGTGGTGATATTACAGTTGAAAGGAAATGTTACCTAACAGTATTTGTGATAATGGCATATTCTGTAACATGTGGTAAAGTAAAGGCCTAGATCAGATTAAAGGAAATGAGCTGTCAGTGATAAATCAATGTCAGCTGCTAAACTAGTCTTTAGAGCAAACAAACACTTCTCAGAAAGTTTTCACAAAGAAACTTGATTTACACAGGAGTATTTAATCATTAATTCCAGGGACTGTGAACAAGATGGCTACATTTACCACATATTAATGCCCTGTCTATTTTTTTTTGTTTGTTTTGTCTGAGTGAAATGTTGCATCTTGTTTGGAGTTTGCCTTCAACATGACCTTTGAAAATCTTGTATTCAGACTATGGGAGAGTGAAATCTTTTAATCCGTCAGTGTTGTTAAATTCAAGCCTATAAAGGAGCATTACCTAGAATGATCCTTCTGATTGTGTCGATGCTGAGCTGATGGAATGCGTCTGTTCTTTCAGGATGTGCATAACTGCTATTTGGACCTGTTCCAAACACATCTTCATTTTGTCTCCAACAACACAACTGGACTCACATACCAGGTAAAAGATGCACCTACTGTATTCCGTTTGTTACACACAATAAACAGTGCATACCACAGGTCGAAATGTAAAGGAGCCCCATATATGTCCATGGTTGTGTCACTGCCTTAGGCAGGAACTGTCGTTTGAGTCATGTGGTAACGGAGACGGATATTACAGTCTTTCTATGCTTTGTGATGTAAAATGTGTCACCTCTCCTTGCCAAAAATGCCACATTAAGTTGTATTCAATCATAAAATTTGTCTCTTTCTATTGTGACTTGTATTAATCAGGTTTTATTATGTCTATTCACTAACCTGAGTCATTTGGACAGTAATAAATGTTCATTATCAGTCAAAGAGTGTTGTGCAATACTGAATGTATCAAAGTGACAGACATCTGAAATGTCATACTTTTCATTACAATGAAACATTTATTTGTTAGAAAAAAAAATCGTAAAACTTTCCAATCATTCCCAGGTATAAATTAAAGTTATTTTGTAAAGTATATATTATTGTATATTAAAGTTAAATTGTATATTATAAAATATAATATATAAAATACAATTTTTATTTTCAATTTTAAAAATGTAAAAAAACCTTTTTTTTTAATTAAAAAAACTTTTTTACTGTTTTAAAAATAAATAAATGTGTAAATAATTTTGAATTCCATATTTTCAATGTGGATTTTTTCATTTTTACAGGGAACACTTCCTCTCAAAGAGCTTACAATTTGCAAGGTGCAGAACAGGAACAGCTTTGGTGATCTGCAGGAATTTGCATTCCAGATAAATGGTGAGTGTGCTTGATAATTCAGGGCTGAACAAACAGGAAAGGGTATGCAAGAAACACAAGATAAAGCAACATGGAGATATAGTTACATACATATAATTGCCCAATACAAAGTTTTGTATTTCTGTAATATTTTATTTTTTACATTTTGGAGGTCTATTTTTATTTATTTATTTTTATTTTTTAATTTAATTTTTAATTTATTTTAATTTATTTTTTTATTCTAAACCCCGTTGTTCTCAGTGAGATTTAAGGGTGGAATTTGTGACTCTAAACTAACCAGAAAACAAAAGACGGATGAGGCATACATTGTAAAGGCACACTATGTAAGCTTAAAAAAACACTTTCCATGTTTCCTCTGGACATTCAAGAGGTTCAAAAGCACTAAGACTAACTAAACCCTCCTCCATTTGCCACTAGTCAGAAGAGAGATAAATTGTCCCCAAGACCCCCCTTGTTATACAACAGGTGCTCCTGAACTCGCTCAGCTGGAGCTACGAGGATTTTTAATTTATTTTAATTTATTTTTTTATTCTAAACCCCGTTGTTCTCAGTGATATTTAAGGGTGGAATTTGTGACTCTAAACTAACCAGAAAACAAAAGACAGATGAGGCATACATTGTAAAGGCACACTATGTAAGCTTAAAAAAACACTTTCCATGTTTCCTCTGGACATTCCAGAGGTTCAAAAGCACTAAGACTAACTAAACCCTCCTCCATTTGCCACTAGTCAGAAGAGAGATAAATTGTCCCCAAGACCCCCCTTGTTATACAACAGGTGCTCCTGAACTCGCTCAGCTGGAGCTACGAGGGCCCTTTCTTTCTTCACCTCTCTGTCACAGTTAAAGTACTCCGCATTCCAGAGCACTGGACCTGAACACACAAGTTTGCTTATAATTTTTTTATGACAATTTACCACATTAGAAAATATTGACTTTATTGCTTTGTCACGCTGAGCAATCAACAAAAAGCTTCAAACTATGCTTAACGTTCTCGGAAGAAGAGTCAATGTGACCGTGATTGAATGAAAAATAATTAAAGCTTAACCGTTATGTGATGTTAAATCCCACTTTCCAAATTAGTGAATAAATCTTCTTATTTGCCACAACATTATATCAGATAGGACTCACTACTGTATTTTAGATTGGAAAGATGATGTCTTAGATTGCTGGGAGTGAGATTTGGGAATCTATGAGGCACACAGCAGCATTTCCAGTCCTGACTAAATATGTAACCTGGGAAAAAAGGACCAAGTCTTGCACATGAACACGTGCCTTTGCTAAAAACGCATCACATCTAACTGGAAATGACTGTACAGGGCAGGTCAGAGTGGCTGATATCTACGCTGATAATGGCTGGAATGCGAGTCTGATAAAAGTGAGATTCCAGGTTTGATGCATTCTTTCAGAATAGCTATTTTCAAGAAGGGACAACAGGTTTATTGCAAATGCATGGCATGTTGTAATGTTAAGAGCTCTTGAAACAGATTATTTGCTCTCAGGGTCTGAAGTGTCAACACTGACATTTTGACATGAATCAGAGCAACGGTATCTAGACAAAATGCATCTATACTTAAAAACAAGATATTCACTAAAATATTCAGCAACCTGTTGCAGGCTCTTAAAGAGATCCAGATGGTCACTGGTTGTAGTCATCTGACCTAACCTCTGACCCCTTGTCCCCGTTCCCCTTTGTAGGGGTCAGCTTGAACCCTATCATCGTGTACTGCTCGACAGAGGAGGAGATGAACAACTGGTTTGGCCTTTTGAAAGAACAAATCGAGGCCAATGGCGGCACTGCAATCACACCAGAGACATACACAAGAATTAAGGTATTGCAAAATCTACCTTTTATCAGAAGTACCTGTACTTGCTAGCTGCCAAATCAAAGTGTATGACAATGAACATGTTAAAAAAAAGGTGTTAATTCAGGTCAGAGTGACTAATGTTGGTCATTGTCCTTTGGGATTTCATAAGGGAGTGGTTTCTTTTGTGGTCACCTTAGCTGGATTTGAAAAAGACATGTTTTCTTTCCTGTTCTGACACATCATGCTATTGCGGCAAGTGAGCTCACTGAGCAAAACATCCGCATCCCATAATTAGCAGAGATGTGCAATCAAGAAGCAATGGATTTCTCTAAAATTCCCAATGCTAATAACACTCCTTTATCTTTCACATGACATAACAAGACACATCATGCCAGTTTTAACTTTTGAACATGGATTTAAACCCAATATTGCCTCCAAAGGTACAGTACTCAGAAGAGTCCAAAGTGGAAAAGGAGGAGCTGAGGAACTCCATCAGTAAAGAGCCCATTTATGAGTGGGAGGGCTCGCAACGAGAGAGTCTAGGGCCCATTACTTACGTCACGAAAGTCAAGCTGCAACACATGCCTTGTCAGGTAAGAGCTCTCCAAGCTGTTGTCCTTATCTCGTCCTTTATTTTGGTTAGATTATTTATACAACCTGAACATTTTTTTTTGCATAAATGCAATGGCATAAAACAACAGCATTATATCAGAAAGTTCTGTCCCATATTCAGAATTTGTACTCTGCATTTAACCCATCCGAGTGCACAAACACAGCAGTGAGTAGTGAACACACACACATCCAGAGCAGTGGGCAGGCATTTTTGCTGTGGTGCCTAGGGAGTAGTTGGGGGTTCGGTGCCTTGCTGAAGGTTCTCACCTCAGTTGTTGTATTGAGGGTGGAAGAGAGCATTGAACAACCACTCCCCCCACCTACAATCCCTGTCAGTACCGAGACTCAAACCCACAACCTTTGGGTTAGAAGTCCGACTCTCTAACCATTAGGCCACAACTGCCCCCGTCCTAATGATTATTTTAATATGAAGCTATTTTATTTATTACTCAAAACATTATAAGGAAATCGAATTACCGTTAAGTTCATTTGAACACAGTGGCATTACACAGAAAGACGTTCACTCTGAAAAGCCTTTGAATTAATTGTTTGGTCTTAGCATGAGGAGGGTCTAAATTCACTTCCATGCTTTCTCAAGAGGTGCAAAGCAAGCTCGGTTTACTCTCAGGGTCTGTTTTGGCATGGCCACTTTCACACTACCCTCATTAGTCAAAGTCTGCCTGGATTCAGCAGGTTTCATTGAACCGACAGCATAAACACAAACCACGTCAGTTCATACTATGGGGACTGTAGTGTAACCAAATAGCCAGTGTACGTGTGGCCAAATATCTAAACCTTTTCCCAGAGAGTGAGGGAGGGTGAGCAACTGATAGTCCTTAAGTGTACTGTGAGAGTGGAGAGGATCTGCTTGTGAAAAGGGTGTGTAAACCAGTTGCTTGCCTCACGCATTTGATTTGACTCACACAACAGCTGTCTTTGAACACACCCTGAACCGAGTTAAAACACACACTCGTGGTCGGAGCAAGACCTCAGGGAAATCTGTGCTTTACACATTGTAGTGCAAAGTAACGGTCAGCTTCTTAGATATTATTATACAACCGTTTGTTCCGGTCCTTGAATTCCATTCCAACATGATTTTGGATTTTCAACTGTTTGTTTCACTCCGCTTGTCTATATTTGGGTGTTAGTAGTGATGAGCGCTTTCGAACCAGTACTTCATGAAGCTTCAATGCTTTTGCGAATCTTTTGTTTTCGAATCCGTGGTTCGAACCAAACTCGCCAAGTCAGGTGATTTCAGCAAACAAGGCTACTGTTTCGAAACTGTTCAAATTCCGATGGTTCACAGTTCTTATTGGTTTGTAAAAGGGGTCTTTGCAGGTTTGGGTTGAGCTCTTGTTGCATTTACACCATTTTGACCAGCAGGTAATGTCAGCTTGCGGTTTTCAGGCGCTTCGAAACAATTAATCATTTTGCGACGCAATTGGTTCAGTTGATTCAGATTTTTGAATCACCCTCACCCTCATGTCTTTTCAAACCCGTAAGACCTTCGTTCATCTTCGGAACACAAATTAAGATATTTTTGATGGAATCTGAGAGCTGTCTGACCCTGCATAGACAGCAATACAACTGAAATGTTCCCAAGTCCAGAGACGTAGCAAGGAAATCGGTAAAATACGACTTCATTCAACAATTCGTCTCCTCCGCATCACCCTGTAGCGCCATTTTGGAGAGTATCCGTTGGGGGGTCAGACAGCTCTGACAGATTCCATCAAAAATATCTTAATTTGTGTTCCAAAGATGAACGAAGGTCTTACGGGTTTGAAACAACATGAGGGTGAGTAATTAATGACAGAATTTTTGGGTGAACTAACCCTTTAATTTCTCCCATCACTAGCCGTGAGTCATTGAATCATTCACTCAAACTATTTGTTCAAACACACTGATTCACTTAGGGATGCAAGAGTGAGTCATTTAAACAGTCTTTCGATCGATTTGTTCAAAAACACTGATTCCTTTAGGTACACAACTATACAGACGCACTAGCTCTGCTGCTTATTTGTTCAAACCCGTAAGACCTTCGTTCATCTTCGGAACACAAATTAAGATATTTTTGATGGAATCTGAGAGCTGTCTGACCCTGCATAGACAGCAATACAACTGAAATGTTCCCAAGTCCAGAGACGTAGCAAGGAAATCGGTAAAATACGACTTCATTCAACAATTCGTCTCCTCCGCATCACCCTGTAGCGCCATTTTGGAGAGTATCCGTTGGACGTAAACAGCGTATGCTGTTCTGTGTCAGCTGCTTCATGCCGGATCTGTTTCCTACTTTGTTTTGATTTGATCTGAACGAAAATAGCGTATCCGTGTGCCGCAACTGACTCAGAACAGCATACGCTGTTTACATCTAGCGGATATTCTCCAAAATGGCGAACAAAGGAGACGAATTGTTGAATAAAGTCGTTATTTTTTTTCTTTTGCGCACAAAAAGAATTCTCGGAGCTTCGTAAAATTACGGTTGAACCGGTCTTACGGGTTTGAAACAACATGAGGGTGAGTAATTAATGACAGAATTTTTGGGTGAACTAACCCTTTAATTTCTCCCATCACTAGCCGTGAGTCATTGAATCATTCACTCAAACTATTTGTTCAAACACACTGATTCACTTAGGGATGCAAGAGTGAGTCATTTAAACAGTCTTTCGATCGATTTGTTCAAAAACACTGATTCCTTTAGGTACACAACTATACAGACGCACTAGCTCTGCTGCTTATTTGGAAATAGTTTGTTGGTGGAGCAAAAATAGATGAAGTAACTGCAAGAAAGTGTCCAAAACAAGTTACTCAATATTTGCTCGCCGTGAGTCATTGAATCATTCACTCAAACTATTTGTTCAAACACACTGATTCACTTAGGGATGCAAGAGTGAGTCATTTAAACAGTCTTTCGATCGATTTGTTCAAAAACACTAATTCCTTTAGGTACACAACTATACAGACGCACTAGCTCTGCTGCTTATTTGGAAATAGTTTGTTGGTGGAGCAAAAATAGATGAAGTAACTGCAAGAAAGTGTCCAAAACAAGTTACTCAATATTTGCTTCTTGCCTTTTTTACTGTAGTGTAAGCAATAATGAACGTGATTCAATTCCTCTGTTTGACTCACAGGAGCAGTATGACCGTCTGCTGGTGTTGTATCCCAACTATCTCATAATTCTGTCAGAAGAGAGTGATGGCCTCTTTTACAAGGTATCTCAAAATAACTTCATTTGCACAACAGTTAAGTTTATTGTATGGAGTAATCCAGTGACGCAAATAATCTTGAATGCATTTGCAATTGCAGGGCAAACTTCCTCTCAACATGATCACAGTTACAACTCCCTGCCAGGACATCAAGCCCAACACATTTATGATTGAGGGTGAGTTAACAAGTCAAACTTCAGTTGCTGGATGTTATCGTTCTTGGCAAAGATCTGATATGTGCCATAAAGATGAGTGTAAACTCTTACTGTTTTCCTATCATGCTGTGCCCTGTTTCTGCACAGATTCATGAATCTAACTCTTGTGGGTTTTGTTGTTAGGGAAGTTGATAAACCCCATCGTTGTGTCCTGTCTGGACAAAAGCGAGTTCAATGACTGGATCCTGTATTTCAAAAGCGCTGACGTCCCCATCCTCAGCCCTCCTCCCCCGGTCTATGACATAATTTACACTCCAACACAGAAACAGGTGAGCGATCACTTCCATCTTGGTGTTGAATATCTTACACTGAACAAAATTATAAACGCAAAGCAACACTTTTGTTTTTGCCCCCATTTTTCATGATCTGAACTCAAAGATCTAAGAATTTTTCTATGTACACAAAAGGCCTATTTCTCTCAAATATTGTTCACAAATCTATCTAAATCTGTGTTAGTGAGCACTTCTCCTTTGCCGAGATAATCCATCCACCTCACAGGTGTGGCATATCATCTTACTGGCCTCAAACTTTTGAAAGGTAAAGAAATGTTTATTTTATGAATAGGACAAAAAGTTGGATAGAAATATTGCTCTACATTTGTGTAGCTTCAAAACAGTATAACATAAATGAACTCCTGTTCTCCTGTCTTTTACAGAGAGGTTTCTCAGGTCACATTGTCATGGAGGCGCAGCAGATATCTTACGGTTACTCGCCAGGTGAGAATTTTTTACATACTAAAGTCAGGAGGCAATTCACAATGGCATGACGATATGCATGTTTCACGGATGTAGAAAGAGAAATAGATACGCAAGATATGTACAGCAAGTTGCACAACCAGTTTTGTGGCCACAAGTTTTGTTGAAATGTTGACCTAGATCATGAGTACGTTTTATAGACTGGTCGAAAATAAAATGGTTTAATTGAATAGCTTAATCGTCTAATTAGGCCACATGTATACACACTCACTTGTCAGGCTTAAACAACACCATAGGGAGGAAATAATCCATGGTGACATGTGCATAGACCAGACTCTCACGGCACAGCTAATAGGATGGTTTTAGAATGACCTTCTCCAACGCGCGCACACACACAGAGGGTTTGATGGGGTGTGTGGTTGCCCAGGCAGGACATGGCAGTGGAAACAAGAGTGCAGATGAAGGGGCATGTGCGTGTATGTTTGTGTGTGTAATATGGCTCAGGTCCAGGGTATTTTAAATGACAGCACTGCAGGTGGCACATGAAGGAAAGACCAGCGAAAGGACAGAATTACCACAGAGGGTGATTTAAAGCTCACAAGTGGGAGATCCTGTAAGACATTCAGAGCCTCTCTGTGAAAAAGAACACAACAAACGATATGTTAGATCTTAAATTACGGCATTAAGTATTTAGATGGCTCAATTTACTAACAACTTAACCTTAGTGAGTGGATTTTGACTTAAATTATACATTTTTCTAAATTGAATCCCAGTATCGGAAGACAGTTTAAGTTGGTCAAAATTTTGTAGAAAAACCATTCAACTAAATATTTCAAGTATTTGAAGACATTAATCATTGTCTTTTGCTTCTTACAGATGACTCTTACCTTCAGCCAGTGGATCCAGATGACCAGGAAATGGACTATGATAACATATGGGAGTTTGACCCAGATAATAGGATGATTCAACCCCTGCCTGGAACGTCACCACACCGGACACTGGCTTACTTTGGAGCTCAAGGCCTGGGCGCTATGACAACACAGCAGAGATGGTCATAAAAGAGAACAATGGGCTTATGCCCGTCCGGACTTGCACACATAGCAGACTAATCAAAGCCACACATGCACACTGGGCATGTTTTCACCAAGGGCTGGCATGCCCGAGTATCTGGATATTCACAGTTTGTTTATTCAGTGGCTTTATGACATATTTTGCACATGTAATATCCTTTCATTTTGTGGTGATGACTTCAGACTGCTGTATGCATTCGGTACGAATAAGTGTATTAGTCATTGACGCATTTATGTATATATGAATATAAGAAAAATAGAAAACTTTCGTAACATTATAAATGTCTTTACTGTCTCTTTTGATCAATTTAATGCATCCTTGCTGAATAAAAGTGAAAGTGAAAAGTGAAACACACACACACACTGTGAACACACACCCGGAGCAGTATTAATTTCTTTAAAAAACATCTTACTGGCCTCAAACTTTTGAAAGGTAAAGAAATGTTTATTTTATGAATAGGACAAAAAGTTGGATAGAAATATTGCTCTACATTTGTGTAGCTTCAAAACAGTATAACATAAATGAACTCCTGTTCTCCTGTCTTTTACAGAGAGGTTTCTCAGGTCACATTGTCATGGAGGCGCAGCAGATATCTTACGGTTACTCGCCAGGTGAGAATTTTTTACATACTAAAGTCAGGAGGCAATTCACAATGGCATGACGATATGCATGTTTCACGGATGTAGAAAGAGAAATAGATACGCAAGATATGTACAGCAAGTTGCACAACCAGTTTTGTGGCCACAAGTTTTGTTGAAATGTTGACCTAGATCATGAGTACGTTTTATAGACTGGTCGAAAATAAAATGGTTTAATTGAATAGCTTAATCGTCTAATTAGGCCACATGTATACACACTCACTTGTCAGGCTTAAACAACACCATAGGGAGGAAATAATCCATGGTGACATGTGCATAGACCAGACTCTCACGGCACAGCTAATAGGATGGTTTTAGAATGACCTTCTCCAACGCGCGCACACACACAGAGGGTTTGATGGGGTGTGTGGTTGCCCAGGCAGGACATGGCAGTGGAAACAAGAGTGCAGATGAAGGGGCATGTGCGTGTATGTTTGTGTGTGTAATATGGCTCAGGTCCAGGGTATTTTAAATGACAGCACTGCAGGTGGCACATGAAGGAAAGACCAGCGAAAGGACAGAATTACCACAGAGGGTGATTTAAAGCTCACAAGTGGGAGATCCTGTAAGACATTCAGAGCCTCTCTGTGAAAAAGAACACAACAAACGATATGTTAGATCTTAAATTACGGCATTAAGTATTTAGATGGCTCAATTTACTAACAACTTAACCTTAGTGAGTGGATTTTGACTTAAATTATACATTTTTCTAAATTGAATCCCAGTATCGGAAGACAGTTTAAGTTGGTTCTTTCAAATACAAATCTTTGTAATCCCAGGCTATCTGTAATCAGAAGCACATTTATAACTGGAATATAATTTCATTCACATGCTTTTCATAAACACACAATCCTTTATGGATTACAATCCGCCATCAAAATGATGCATTTAATTATTCTGGCTGCTGTGAGAAAAGGATATAAACGATCCACCACCTGCAGGATCCTCACATGTCCAGGACAACTTCTTTGTTTACAGACGTGACATAATGACACATAATGACCATGGTCGAATTTCCCGCGAAAACCTACCCATACTTTCAAATACAAATCTTTGTAATCCCAGGCTATCTGTAATCAGAAGCACATTTATAACTGGAATATAATTTCATTCACATGCTTTTCATAAACACACAATCCTTTATGGATTACAATCCGCCATCAAAATGATGCATTTAATTATTCTGGCTGCTGTGAGAAAAGGATATAAATGATCCACCACCTGCAGGATCCTCACATGCGATAGTCTAGTAGCCAGGACAACTTCTTTGTTTACAGACGTGACATAATGACACAGTGCCATGGTCGAATTTCCCGCGAAAACCTACCCATACCACTCAAATTAGAAAACATTATTATAAGCTAATCGTTGTGAATTGGGCTAAAGTAAGGCGATAGTTTTGAACACTGGCTGGTTATGTACTTGCTCAAATATTGATTTCGGATCATTTTTAACAAAACAAAAAAAAAAGTTACGGACTGCAGCTTTAAGCATTTTGGAGTTTTGAATTTAGTTTCGTTTGTGAGTCTTACAAACTGTTGGTAATTGTGATTATATGCATATTTTATACAAAAAAAAAGACATACCAAATGTAAATATGTTATTTTTTCTATTTAAGTTTTAAATGTAAGTTTTTATTATTATTCTTTTTTTTATTTTATTTATACTTCTTTTATTAAGGCCTTCTACTCTTTGTTGGAAAATTATATTTGTCCCGTGGAGGTCAAAGCTATTCTTTAGAAAATAAATAAATATGTACTGTTTTTGCATTGTTTGTGACAAATAAACACAGTGATAAAACAGGTGCGTATGCACATATTTAATCTTAGAGTGTGCGTACGCTAAAATCCACGGCGACCCTACCCCCTGGATCTTTGTTCTGCAGTGAGGGGCTACTGGGTCAGGGTCTTAGCAGGCGTACGCACTTTTCTTTGTGGCAAAGTCGGAGTACTGCAGCTATTTGAACATCTAAGCTGCAATAATAATAAAAGCGGTGTACGTGCAAGCTCCGAATTCACCATAAACAACAAAGATGCAGTGTAAGAGATTAATTATGCAGTGTAGGCCTAGTTTTTTATTAACGGGAGTTTTTGCGAGATTAAATTGACCTTTTTAGTAGCCTAATTTTGAGAGTTATTTACTCGCTTTCTGTAGGCTACACGGTTTATTCCATGTTTTTTTTTTTATTATAATTTTATTTTACAAGAGAACTTGCGAAGTCCTGCTTTAGCCTACTACTAATGCGTAAAATAGGGGGAAAATATATGCATAAACGCATCTCCGACTGTTTTGTCGGCGAATGCCTATATAAGAATATGCCTACGTCACGCAATAACGGTTTTTAATATATTCTATTCAATAACATTGTTAACCGTTTTATGTAGGCCTATAACATCTGCTGCTTTGCTTCTGTGAAAATGAATAGCCTTACACTTTGTTTTTTTTTTCATTTACATCAGTTAAATACACTAGCATATATATTTTTGTGTCAGTACATTAATGGCACATTTGAGCAGCATTAGTAAACTGTGTAAATATAAAGAAACGCCAAATCACATGCAGTTTTTTTTCAGACCGGAGACCATAATCGTGTAATAATTTATGTTATGATACGAAACGTCCAATTTTTCTTTCAATAATGTTTTTTAATATTTTGCAAGAATTTCGTGATATTCAACTTTTTATTAGTTGTCATAGCAAGTGATTTTAAAAGTAGGATGGCTCACTTTTTATAAGATGACTGAAAATTTTACTTGAATTCGTAGTTTATTCTTACATTTGGAAACCTAATTGTTTTATAATTACTATTATTATTATTTCTGTTGTTTCTAGAAGTAGTAATTTTGATAATAGTCATTTGAAAAAATATAACAACACACACAGTTAGTCCACAGAACATAGACTGTAAGAAAACATGGACGTAGTGTCCGTGACGTCACTCGTAGGGTTCAGAAGAGCGTTTTTGAAGCCTAAAGTGGGCGGAGCCGACCGCCGCCATCTTGGCAGCGCTTCACCGCGCGTCACTCCTGGGTAATCGAAAATGGGCAAAAAGGCGGGTCGTGTGTGAAGCTGAGGCGCTAGCTGCTGAAACCACACCGTCTATGGCAGGGTTCCTCAAATCTTGCCCTGGAGGGCCAATGCGCTGCAGAGTTTAGCTCCAACCCTGATCAAACTCACCTAGCTGTGATTTTCTAATGATCCTGAAGACATTGATTAGCATGCTCAGGTGTGTTTGATTAGGGTTTGAGCTAAACTCTGCAGGGAAGTGAATCTCGTGGGCCAGATTTGAGGATTCCTGGTCTATGGTGACAGCAGGGCTGCCTTTCAAAGACAAAACACCATAACTTCATTTTTGGTCGAAATGAGTTATTGATAATTTTGGGACCTATATGACCTCCTTTATCATGTATATAATTACAGGTGCATCTCAATAAATTAGAATGTCGTGGAAAAGTTCATTTATTTCAGCAATTCAACTCAAATTTTGAAACTCGTGTATTAAATAAATTCAATGCACACAGACTGAAGTAGTTTAAATCTTTGGTTCTTTTAATTGTGATGATTTTGGCTCACATTTAACAAAAACCCACCAATTCACTATCTCAACAAATTAGAATACTTCATAAGACCAATAAAAAAAACATTTTTAGTGAATTGTTGGCCTTCTGGAAAGTATGTTCATTTACTGAACATGTACTCAATACTTGGTAGGGGCTCCTTTTGCTTTAATTACTGCCTCAATTCGGCGTGGCATGGAGGTGATCAGTTTGTGGCACTGCTGAGGTGGTATGGAAGCCCAGGTTTCTTTGACAGTGGCCTTCAGCTCATCTGCATTTTTTGGTCTCTTGTTTCTCATTTTCCTCTTGACAATACCCCATAGATTCTCTATGGGGTTCAGGTCTGGTGAGTTTGCTGGCCAGTCAAGCACACCAACACCATGGTCATTTAACCAACTTTTGGTGCTTTTGGCAGTGTGGGCAGGTGCCAAATCCTGCTGGAAAATGAAATCAGCATCTTCAAGCATGAAGTACTCCAAAATTTCTTGGTAAATGGGTGCATAGACGTTAGTTTTCAAAAAAACACAATGGACCACCACCAGCAGTCTTCCCCATGATTGTGTAGCCTAGTGAACCAAACTGAGAGACCATTTTGAAGGCTCAGGAAACCTTTGCAGGTGTTTTGAGTTGATTAGCTGATTGGCATGTCACCATATTCTAATTTGTTGAGATAGTGAATTGGTGGGTTTTTGTTAAATGTGAGCCAAAATCATCACAATTAAAAGAACCAAAGACTTAAACTACTTCAGTCTGTGTGCATTGAATTTCACAATTTGAGTTGAATAACTGAAATAAAATGAACTTTTCCTCGACATTCTAATTTATTGAGATGCACCTGTATCTTGGAGAAAAGCCCAGGAGAAACCAAGGCAGAACACAGTATCATCAGTTACCGCTCTTTGGCTTTGTTTTAGATCGCTCAAATTAAGTTACGGTGCTCTGCATCTGTTTAGCCGTTCGTCAGTATTACTGTGCCAGCCTGGAGTTATATGGTATTCTGCCTTTGCTTTACTGTACATTAAAGTTGGTGCTTTTAAATTACGGTGTGACTTGTGTACTTCCATA